GCGGGGACTATTTAAAACAAATTTTTGTCGAAAAAATATTTTATAATTTACCGTTACCTTGTAATGTGACACACTATTTTTTTATTCTATTATGCTGTCCCAATTACAAGGCTAGCCACTGTCCAGCACACATCAAAACAACAACTGCAACAAAATTGGGGCCAAATGTTGAGCAACATGTTGCCATCGAAATGCAGTGGTGGTACAAGGCAATGCAACTTATTTTTTTTCATGCTGCCGCTCTTGTGACGTAGCAATGGTTACCCACATCTATGCACACACATACACTCACAACATGGCATTTCTTCACGAAAGTCCATGGCTAAAAAAACAGCCACAGCTCAAACCTGTTGAAAGCGAAATTTTTTTTTATAAAATAAAGGTTGGTTGGTTACTTGACTTATTTCTTTCATTCCTCTGCTGCTGCTGCGGCTACTAGTACCACCACTATTATTATTGCTGCCGTGGTCGTCTTCGATGTTGTTGTTTTTGTTTTTGTTCACCGCCACCATTTCTTTCTTTGGGGTTTGTTGTCTATAAAAATTGCGGTTATTGTTGTTTAAAAGTTTTCTTATGGCGATGTTGTTGTTATTTTTGTTTAACCTCAATTCTAGTTGGAGTGTAGTGGTGTAAGTGTTGTTGTTTTTTTTTTTTTTTGTATCAGTGTGTGTGTGTCTCTCTATGTGTACGTGTATTTGATTTTCTTAACTCTTTTCAATCTTTCTTCTTGGCCAGTTTTTGCTTCAACCTGTAAAAGTTTTGTTGTAGTTGTTTTTTTTTTTAATTTCTTTGTAGCTTTCTTTCGAATAGATTTTAAAAAGAAATGAGAGAAAAAAGTGCGTGAGTGGTATTTCTAAACAATTTTTTTCTAAATTTGTTTTTCTACAACCTTCTACTGTACTTGATTATAGGGTTGATGTTGTTTTTGTTGTTGTGGACGATTGAAACAAATCAATTTAAAAAAAAAAACGACAGTTTGATGATCGAAATTTAAAAGTAATTTGGAGATGGGGGTCTGATAGTTTACAGAAAAAAATCTGTAAGTTTTTTCGGCTGTGGAGTGGGGAGCAGAGAACCTTAACAACCTGTTTCAGGTATTATTTCTTGATGACCCCCCCCTCCCCCCTTTCGAAGGGCAACCTGTTGATCAGATATGAAAAAAAATTGTGGAGGCATTTTATTTTTTTCATGGGAGTGTTGGGGCTAGGTTACCAAATTTATTGTAGCTTTTTTTCTCCACCTGTTTCTTTGGGTTCTGACGTATTCAGGTGCCTTGATTTTACTGTTGTTGTAATCATTATGATTCTATTGGTAAATAATCAAACACGATATCAAATACGAGCATCATTTGATTTGGGTTTATTAAGAGAATTCATTATCAGTGGTTATTGTTGCATTCCTTTGGTCCCACAAACACACGCACACTGATAGTAAGAACCCCTCAGTCAGCCAGTCCCAAATCCCACCAAACCCAACCATCGTCAACAGCAACAACAACAACAACCAATAATAATTTATATGCTAATTTTAATGTTTGATTTTTGTTCTTGTATCCACTAAAGAAGATAGCTGGTGTTTACCTGTTTTTGTTGTTGCCATTACCCATACCACTACACAACTTGATTTTTTTTGTCTGTCTTTCTTTCCACTTTTATAGATTATTAATGTTTTTGACCTAAATACCGCATTGATTTTTTTGTTGGTTTGGTTTTGTATGGACTGTTAACAAAGTTAGCTTCGTTCTTTTTGGGATTTTAAAGGTTTTGGGTTCTTTGAGAACGAAGAAATTCTCTCAAGAAAAAAATGGGAAAAATGTTGCATGGAATTTGAGAAGAACATCTTCTCATTAGGTGCACCATCAAGTTAATTGAAAGCATTTTAGGCAAGTGATTTTATAGACAACCACAATTCAGCTACCATTTATTACGGAAAATGTCAATTCAGCTAACTTTTTTTAAATAAAAATCAAAATTCAGCAAACATTTTTCATAGAAAATGTCAATTCCACTAACATTTTCCATAGGAAAAGTTAATTCAGCACCAAAAATCGAATATTTTCAGTAGGAAAAATTAATTCAACAATATATTTTCTACAAAAATCGAACATTTTCCATAGGAAAAATTAATTCAGCTAATATTTTCTACAAAAATCTATAGATAAATATAATTCAGCCACCGTTTACTGCGAAAAATACACAATTCAGCTAGGTTTTTCTATTGAAAATAAAAATTCAGCAAAAATTTTCAAAGAAAATGTCAATTTTAATATCATTTTCTACAGGAAAAGTTAATTCAGCTAATATTTTCTACAAAAATCGAAACATTTTCCATAGGAAAAGGTAATTCAGCCAATATTTTCTACAAAAATCGAACATTTTCCATATGAAAATTTAATTCAGCTAATATTTTCAACAAAATTCTATAGGTAAATACAATTCACTACGGAAAGAACTCAATTCACCTAACTTTTTCCACTGAAATTCAAAATTCAGCAAACATGTTCCATAGAAAAAGCTAATTTCCCTCACATTTTCCATAGGAATAGCTAATTCAGCTAACATTTTATACACAAATCAGACTGATTCTATAGAAAAATCCAATTCAGCTAACATTTACTGTGAAAAAAATTCAATTCAGCTAACTTTTTCTAAAGAAATTGTAGTGTCAGCTAACTTTTTCTTCTAAAAATCTCAATTCAGCAAACATTTTTCTTGGAAAAATTCAAATTCTGTAGGAAAAAAGTAATTCGAGTAACGTTTTTCACAAAAAGCCAACGGATTCACAACGAAGCCAACAAAATTCAATTCAGCTAACATTTGCTGTGGAAAAAATCAATTCAGCCAGCTTTTTCTACTGAAATTCTTAAGCTAGTTAACTTTTTCTTCTAAAAATGCAAATTCAGAGAACTTTTTCGGTTAAAAAGTCAATTCAGCTAAGATTTTCCATAAGAAAAAGTAATTCAGCTAACGTTTTTCACGAAAAGCCAACGGATTCTATAGATAAATTCAATTCAGCTAACATTTACTGTGGAAAAACTTCAATTCAGCTAACTTTTTCTAAGGAAATTGTAATTTCAGCTAACTTTTTCTTTTAAAAATGACAATTCAGCTAACTGTAATTGTAATTTCAGCTAACTTTTTCTTTTAAAAATGACAATTCAGCTAACTGTTTTCTGTTGAAAAAGTCAATTCACCTACCATTTCTCACAAATTTCCCAAAAAAAAGAAAAAAAATCAGCCAAGTTTCTCCAAAGTTATAATCAATTCGGCAAACGATTTTTAACAATTGCTCAGGAAAAATCTCAATTCAACAAAAAGCTCCTACGGAAATTTCAAATTTAGCTAAATTTTTTATCTAAAAATATCAATTCAGCAAACATTTTCCTCGGAAAAAATCAAATTCAGCTAATATTTTTCGTGGAAAAATTCAATTCAGCAAAATTTTTCCACAAAATAATTAATTCAGCAAAGTTTCTCCAAAGATAGCGAAGATTTTCCATAAAACAACGGCAAACCCTCAATTCAGCAAAATTTTTCTACAGAAATTTCAAATTCAGCAAACTTTTTTTTAAGCACCAATTCAGCAAACATTTTCCGTAGAAAAATTCAGCTAAAATGTTTCATAGAAAACACAATCCTTGGAAGTTTTTCATAGACCAGACCAAGTTAATTCAGCTAACGTTTTCTACCGAAAAGTTGAATTCAGCTAATTGTTTAATAATAAAATTGTAAATTCAGCTAAAGTTTCTATGGAAAATGGCAATTCAGCTAAGGTTTTCTATTAGAAAAAATGAATTCAGCGCAGACCAAGTTAATTCAGCTAACGTTTTCTACCGAAAAGTTGACTTCAGCTAATTGCTTAATAATAAAATTTTAAATTCAGCTAAAGTTTTCATGGATTCAGCTAAGGTTTTATATTAGAAAAATAAATTCAGCGCATATTTTATAGAGAAATACAATTCAGCAAATGTTCAGTAAGAAAATTCTATTCAGCTAATGTTTTCTATTGAAAGAAGTTTATTCAGCAAATATTTTCTATTGGAAAACTCAATTCAGCTAATTATTTTACTAAAAAATATTCAGCAATTTTTTAATGTTAATTAACATTTAAATTTTTAGCGTTATTATGAACCATTTAAGATAAAAAAATTATCTTCCTCTCTCTCTCCCTCAAATCTCATATTAAATTTCCCATTGTGATTAACTTCATTTACAAAAGACTTAAGACACAAACAGTTTATTATAATTATCTTTAATGAGAATTACGTTCTCTCTCTATCTCTCAAGCGCCATGAGTGTAGGAGATGACTTGTCCCCACATGCATTACAAAGGACTAAAGACTTAAGAAACGAACAGTGTTTAATTAACAAACAAAAAGGTAGGAAGTGAGAGAGAGAGAAAGAGAGTGTTAATGGAGAGAATGACTATAAGTAACATAAAAGACTTAAGCAACAAACTTTTTTATGTGAATTATCACTAATCAAAGAGTGAGAGAAGAAATATTAAAGGTTAACATATTGACAATGCAGAGTATTTTACACATTTTTTTGCTTTGTTTTATTTTGAACTAATTTAATTTTTCTAATTTTTTTAACATTTTTTCATTATTTCAATTTTAGTATTTATTTTTAAATTTTAATTTCCCAACATATTTATAAAAACAATATTTTAAATACTTAAAAATAAATTATATTAAAAACATTTTTAAAAAATTTTTACTGATTTAATTTTTATTTTTATTTTGATTTTTTTAGGTTAAAATGAATTTACAAAATTCCAAACGATTTTTATACATCAAAACCTACAACAACATTTGATTGGAGAACAAAGAGAACAAAAATAATTTTGCATATACAAAAAGCTTAACGAGCTACAAAAAGAAGTAGAAGAAGAAAACATCATTTCCAGTTGAATAATACCCTTAACAAAAACAAACAAACATCCACCCACACACTCTTCCCACAAAATTTCGGCTTCAAAATTCCCCCCTCTCAGCATACCATGAAGTTTTGCACTATGAACGGTCCAACAGAATCCGAAGTTGAAAGTATGCTAATGAGCCCCTGTTGGGGACCCACACAAAATGGCGGCCAAGATCAATATCTGCTCGATGGCCATAAATTATTTGTCGATCACGATTTGGATTCCCTGCCCAGCAGCGATACAGATCAGAAAAATTCTCTCGATGTTTTGGACAATCTGCTAATGAACACCACAAGCCTTAATGGTTTATCGGATCTGAAACCCTTACCTCCCTTTACCGGCTATACGGGTCATTTATCGATAAATGGTATATCCGGTCATCATTATCATGCAATTGCCCAGAGGCTACCCGATGAAAGCAACAATAATTATATACAGAGTGCATATCATGCGGTCGGAGGCGGCAGCAATGCGGCCACCATACAATTGGCAAACTCCTCCTCGTCGGGTAATTCACCACTGTCGTCGAGTCATGGCGGCATGTCACTGGGCGGTTCCAGCCTAACAAGTAGTCATAATTCATCTGCCGATCACAATATTGTCTCCTCATCTACCTGCCTGCCCGAAAGTGTTCTCAGTAGCGATGCCGATGCCTGCCTACACGATGTCAAACTTTTCTCCGATAGTCAATTAGATAGTAAGCTCTACTCCCTGGCCGATAGCTGTGTTATGGCGAATGCCTCCACGACGACGACGACGAACAACAACAATCATAGCCACCAACACAACCACAATGGTGCGAGCATAACATCTGCGACGACGGGTCTCGCTGGCCAAGATCCCGATTCGGCGGGAGTGCGCATCTATGCCGATGCCAAAGATCTGACAGAATATGTGGACATGAATTCGATAGACGATATTGCGGCCATCATAGGCAGTGCAATTGCGGATACTACAGTACCTAATCAGCTGGACAAGGACGATGGCAATGATACGCGGGATTCATGGATCGATTTGGATGCCTGGATCGAGGGTAATTGTATACAGCAGGAGGGTGGTAAGCTGGTGGTGGCCCAACAGGATTCGCTGAGTGATTTTATGCTGCCGCAATCGCCGATCCACCCTAGTAGTTCAACGCTGCAGAGTCTGCTGACACATGGCTATATGCCACTGTTGCAGAATCGTTTACAGAATGGACCACCCACCACAACGACATCGTCATCATCATCGTCGAATCAAATAAAAGGTGAAGCGCCCAGTTCTACCTCATATTGTAATGAACTGACCAGCTCGACATCGGCCAGTCCACCAGGATCGGTGGTTTCGACGACAGATAATCTGATGATAAATCCACGGTATCTGACAAATCCCACACAATATCACATCTCAATGAAGGCGGATGGTCTATGCAGTCCGGATTTGATGGGTGGTAATTGCGGCAACGGCGGAAGTGGTGGTAATGGTGGCAACTATCCGCACACGACAACGGTAACGCCAACCGGTACACCAAAAACCAAACGTTCACGAACAACCAAAAAATCCGCTCAACAACAGCTTAGCAGTAATGGCGGCGGTGGTATGCAGGTCGTTTCAAATGGTGGTGGCGGCTCCTCGCTGGGTGGACCCCAACAACTTAACTCCATTACCTCTCCCACCTCGGTGAATTTCAATGCCAATGATTTATCTGGGCTCTTGGGCAAAGAGAAACCCGTACATCGCTGCAGCATCTGTAATCGAGGCTTCCTGAACAAGAGTAACATCAAGGTGCATTTGCGCACCCACACCGGTGAGAAACCATTTCGCTGTGAGGTGTGTGCTAAAGCTTTTCGCCAAAAGGCCCATTTGCTCAAACATCAACAGATACATAAGAGAATTGGGCGTGACTGACAAACACACAATAATCATCCGCAACAACAACATCATCCGCATTCACATCAACGATCACCAGGGAATCGTGGCAGTGCTGCGACATCGATTGTCACTTCGAAATTATTTCATCATCATAATGCTCAGCATCAGTCTCATGCGAATTCTCATTCTCATTTTTCGTCAGGTGGCAATCGAAACGTGGCTGCGACTGAACCCTTGGTGGTGATCAATGATGAAGAATTTCGTTTTAAGACCATTGTACTGCAAAAACCCAAGGCCATGGGAGGTGGTATTTTTAGTGGCAATAGCTAGGAACAAATTCCATTCCTTTGGCTTAGGGTGGGAGGCAGCACAAGAATTGGAATCGAAAAAAAGAAAATGAATTTAAAAATAAAGACCGAATAATCTTCCAAATATTTGAAAAAAAAATAGGGCTTAGTGAGAAAAAAAGAAATGCTGAGCATTTTATTCGAACACCCTCTCTCTCTCTCTCTTAATTTTTTTCTTTGCAATAAATGGAAGACTATTATGATATTTTTTGGAAATTCTCTTCTTCCTGATTCATTCATTAAAAAAACGAAAAGCAAAAAATTAGGTTTGTAATTTGTTTTTATTTCTACCCAAACAAAGAGAATTTTCAGATCTCTTTCCGAGTGAAAAAAAAAATTCTCTTTCAAGGCGGCTCAAAGTTACCAACATATTGATCGGATGCAGCCCTTCCAAGCTTAGTTTGAGTGGGGAGAAGGATAACACAAGAAAATAAAAATTACAAATTTTTATTTTCTCTCACTTCCTCTCTCCCCTTTCTCTTCTAAGTTTTTATTGTTGTTACCAATATAACCCCTTAACCCAGGGTTATCACATAGATGAAGTGCTCCATACGACCAATTGGGAAATTTGGTTTAATCTTTGATGCTACATCAAATGTTGTTATAAAGCCTAAATAAAAACAAATTACATTCTTCCGCAATGAAAGGATAACAAATGCTAAACCAAAAAAAAGAAAAAAGAAAAGTACAGCAGAAAAAGCAAAAGTTATTCGTTGTTGTTGATTGCTTTTGATCTCTTAGATATAGAATTAGAAACCAAAAAAAAGAAACAATATATTTTTAGTGAGGAACTAATATTTTTCGAACAAAAACACAGCTTAAAATTTGTATTCAGGCGATTTTTGTAACCTACACATACGTTACGTTTACGTTACGTAACGTTTTTTAAAGAGTTGGGGGCATGGGTAATGGTAATATGTTTTAAAGAAGGCCAGAGAAATAATTAAAACACATTAAAAATTATTATAGGTAGATTTTTCACCACTTGCAGTCATTCTACGTTAACAATACGTATAAGTAAGAAATTTTTTAAAGTGATAATGAAAGTAAAAGATATTCTATTATGTTACAGTTACGTTGCGTTCACGTTAAATAGATTTTTGTTCGAAAAAAAAAAAACAATTATTTAGTAAAAAAAACTTTTAGTTTGTAACATCCAGGCGATTTTTGTAACTTACACATACGTTACGTTTACGTTACGCACTCTTTGGAAAGAGTTAAGGGCATATATATTTGAAAGAAGGCCTAAGAAATTGCTCATATACATTTGAAGGGAAAATAGATCGATTTTTCCACTTACAGTTACCTTACGTTTACATTACGTGCACGTATGAAATTTTAAAGGTCTTAAATAACATACATATAGTTTCGGAACTGCCAAAAGCCACAAGACAATTTAATAAGAATCGATTAATTTATCTTACGGCAAGATTAATTATGGGTCATTATTAATTGTGGGTCAATTTTTGCAACACATTACGTTTACATTACGTATACGTATTGGAGTTTAGGCGAGTTTTAATCACCCAGATAACAAATATACCATATAGGAAAGGCGATAAAAGCAACCATGATCGTTTACAATTGAATAGAAATCTTTACGTATATTACGTCTACGTTACGTATTTTTTATATATTTTTTCGTAATAAGAAAAAAGTACTTTTTTGTAAGAATGACAATTTTTAAACATAAAACACAGGTGAACAATATTCTAGATAACTTCCTAGTATTCAAATAATTTAATTCTCGCTTACGTTAACGTTACGTAGTGTTACGTAATTACAACAAACACATGGACATTTTATTGAAATATTGTAATTTATCAATAAAATAACAAAATAATTAAAAAAAGTCAAGATTTGTTAAATTGTATGTCTTGCGTTTACGTTACGTTATAGTAACGTTACGATAATTTGTCATAATATTTTCAGAAATATAAGAAAATTACAAATGAATACGATTAAATAATATTTAATTATAAAATGCACATTTATAAATGCTATAAACCAGATACAAACACCTTACGTTTACGTCACACATTTACATAGTGTTTAAAACCCCGGTAATAATGTCCAGAAATGTTCTACAGAAAATCTGAATGATTTTTAATAATTTTTTGTTATTATTATTTGTGATCAACTGGAAAATTTTTGAATTTTAGAGTTATGCATCGTACGTAACGTAAAGTAAAGTAAACGTAATCCAAAAATTGCAATATTTCACATATTTGTATAAAATATTTATTAGATAGAAATTTCATAAAAATGACATAGAAATTCATACATTTTGTGTGAACATTTCAATATTTTCAAGTTACGTATCGTACGTAACGTAACGTAGACGAATTCAAATATTGTAAATATGTCTACAATATTGCTTAGGTATTTGAATAAATGAAATCAATTCATTGGACTCGAATATCATTTTCTATATTTTTAAACATTACGTATCGTACGTAACGTATAGTAAAAAAATTCCAAAATTTAAAAAATATCAAAATCGATATCAAGAATGTCTACCACATTGGACATACAAGAACCTTAACCGTGAACATAAACTCTAAACTGTCACAGTAAAAAGTATATATTTTCCAGTTACGTATCGTACGCAACGCAAGCGTAACGTAAAACAATGAAATAATGTAAGCTATAATAGTACGTAAAAAAAAATAAATGTTTTTTAATGTAAATTGTACGTTACGTAAAGTTAACGGTAAAAAATCAAAAATTCGACATTTGTTAATGTTAACATTTTAGATTTTTCTGAAAAAAAATGTTTGAATAACGTTAATGTAACGGAATGTCTCCATAACACAAAAATCGATATTTTCCAATATTTTTTTTAAAATGCAAATATTATTATTTTTTATGTTTTTGTAGACGTATTACTTAACGTAAATTAAAACAAAAAATATTTACGTAACGAATATAAAAGTAAACGAAACCGTAAACACCAAAAATTGTCACATTTGGTCGATTGTAAACATTTTAGATTTTTCTGCAAAAAATATAAAATTTGTCATTTACGTACTATACGTAACGTTAATGTAACGAAATGTCACCGTAACACAAAAATCAATATTTTCCAATATTTTTTAAAAGACAAATATTTATGATTATTTTATGTTTACCCTTAAAAATAATTAATTTCATATTTCATCAGTTACGTATTACACGTAAGGTTAACGTAACGTAATATTATTTAATGACAAATATTTATTATTATTTTATATTACCCTTAAACATAATTAATTTCATATATAATCAGTTACGTATTACACGTAAGGTTAACGTAACGTATCATACGTAACGTTAACGTAACCAAAAAATTTAATTTTTTCCTTTAAAACAAAAAAAAAATATTTAATGGTTTCTAAATTTCCCCAACAAATTTTAAATTCTACAGTTACGTACCATACGTAACGTTAACGTAATGGAAAATCACCATAACAAAAAATTAATTTTTTTCCAAATATTTTTTATAAAGAAAATATTAAATATTTTTTTTTAACGATTACCCCAAAAACTATTAAATTTTATATTTTATCAATTACGTATCACACGTAAACGTAACAAACAAATAATATTTTTTCATTGGAACAAAAAAATGTTTAATATCTTCTATCTTTCCCTCGACCCAACACAAATATATATATGTATATATATATAAAATCTACAGCGTAACAGTAACATAACAAATATATATATATATATATATATATATATTAAAAAAATATTCGTAACGTAAGCGTAACGATAACATAACGTAAAGTAAACAATATATATATATAAATGCGTTTTTTTTTTGTTATTTTAATATATATATATAATTTTGTGAAAAAATATACAAAAAATTTTTATTTTTCAATTTTGTGAAAAAATTTATTGTCTAAAAATATACGTAACGTATACGTAATTGTAACGTAGGGTACTATAAACATATAGATAAAAACGTATGAAAATCGGTAAAAATCGAATCTCCTGTAGCCTTCGGAAACCCTTAGAGGCCCCATTCTCCCAAAAATTAGTAGTTTTATGTTTTTTTTTTACAATAATAACAACAACAATAACCCCAAACTATCAAGGAGAGCACAAGCAATGTAAGAACAACGGAGCGTCCAATTGTCTTTTTGCAACTGTTGTTCCGTTTTGATGCAATATTGTGGCGAAAACAAAAACTTCGAGCGAAAAGTCAACACATCCAGCATACAAGAACCTTAACAGAAATTGGTGGATACCCCCCGACAACATAAAAGAAAATACTCCCCCCTTCATACACACACACAACTACAAAAAATCAAACATACTGTAATAAATAAAATTAAAACAAAATAAATCAAAATATATAAAAATTGTAAAATAATTGATGTTAAATTAATTTTTAGAAAAGTACCTCAAATGAAAAAAAGAAAACAAAATAAAAAATAATTATTTTTAAAACTAGTTAAATATTAAATTAAAGTAAAAAAAATAATACAACTGTACAAATTAAAAATATTGTTAAAAAAATAAAAAATATTAATTTTTAAATAAAAATTTAAATGAAATGGTTTTGGCTTTGAATTTGATATTTCAGGAACAAACAAAAAAAAATAATTAAAAATAAAATATTTTTATTAAAAAATATTTCCTTAAAATTTTAAAACTTTAACACAATCCTTATTGTAATTATAAATTATGTATTTTTTGTAATAA